GCATTCTCAAAAACAACAGAATCATCTCTGTTCATTTCCAAGGCAAAACATTCAATATCATAGTAACCCAAGTCTATGCCCCAACCAGTAATGCTGAAGAAACTGAGGTTGAACGGTTCTATGAAGACCTACAAGACCTTCTAGAACTAATAACCAAAAAAGACGTCTTTTTCATTATATGGGACTGGAATGCAAAAATTGGAAGTCAAGAGTTACCTGGAGTAACAGGCAAATTTCACCTTGGAGTACAAAATGAAGCAGGGCAAAGAATAACAGAGAATGCACTGATCATAGCAAACACCCTCTTCCAACAACACAAGAGATGACTTGACACATGGTATTGACCATCTGGTGATGTCCATGTGTCAAGTCATCTCTTGTGTTGTTGTCCGAAATCAGATTGATTATATTCTTTGCAGTCAAAGATGGAGAAGCTCTATACATCAGCAAAAACAAGACCGAGAGCTGACAGTGGCTCAGATCATGAACTCCTTATTGAAAAATTCAGACTTAAATTGAAGAAAGGGAAAACTACTAGATCATTCTGGTGTGACCTGAATCATATTATTTACTATTATACAGTGGAAGTAACAAAGAGATTCAAGGGATTAGATCTGATAGAGTGCCTGAAGAACCTTGAACAGAGGTTCCTGACATTGTACAGGAAGCAGTATTCAAGACTATCTCCAAGAAAAAGAAATGCAAAAAGCCAAAATGGTTGTCTATAGAGGCCTTACAAATAGCTGTGAAAAGAAGAGACGCTAAAGGCAAAGGAGAAAAGAAAAGATAAACCCATGTGAATGCAGAATAGCAAGGAGAGATAAGAAAGCCTTCCTCAGTGACCAGTGCAGAAGCGATAGAGGAAAACAATAGAATGGGAAAGACTAGAGATCTCTTCAAGAAAATTAGAGATACCAAGGGAACATTTCATGCAAAGAAGGGCACAGTAAAGGACAGAAATGATATGGACCTAACAGAAGCAGAAGATATTCAGAAGAGGTGGCAAGAATACACAGAAGAACTATACAAAAAAGATCTTCATGACCCAGATAACCACGATGGTATGATCATTCACCTTTAGAGCCAGACGTCCTAGAATGGGAAGTCAAGTAGGCCTTAGGAAGCCTCACTACGAACAAAGTATTAGAATTCCAGTTGAGCTATTTCAAACTGTAAAAGATGATGCTGTGAAAGTGCTGCACTCAATATGTCAGCAAATTTAGAAAACTCAGCAGTGGCCACAGGACTGGAAAAGGTCAGTTTTCATTCCAATCCCAA